TTTTGAAATTTTTAACATACTGTTAAGTAATTAAACTCGTAACTGTATATTCGTTTTTTTTCCTAGATTTTGAGTAAAAAACTTTGCGATGTTTGTTACGTTTATAAAAGTAAGTTTGTTTGCAGTTTTGGTCTGCGTTCGTGCCGTGTGCCACTCAGAACAAGGACGCCGTGCAGCTGACGCTTGAGCAAATCGACGTCATCAAGAGACTGGTTGAAAAATATCCGATGCAAATGCAACTGGCCACTTCTGTTACCGGTACAGTGAACATAACATATTACACGAGATAGAATACTTTGAATTATGATAAAAAAAAACCCATAACTTAGGGTAGGCTCCGAGTCCCTCGGTGGGGACGTTTAGTGAGCTGATGATGATGATGAAGATAAAAAACCATAGTTAACATGTCGTCTTCTTAAAGCATTCTTCAGAAGGTTAAAACCAATTTGATAAAAACATCTTAGGTTTATTATCTTGTAATTTCTTTTCTATAAAATTAATTATCTTTACGTAGACATCCTGCAAGCTCACAGCGCCCGACCGCGTAAGATAGCGTCCTTGATCGGCATCGAAGGCGGGCACTCGATCGCCAACTCTCTGGGCGTCCTGCGCAGCTACTATCAGCTCGGCGTGAGATACATGACCCTTACACACACCTGCAACACTCCGTGGTACGTAACTTCGATCTATACGACAAGGGTAACGTTTAAAAAAGATCTCATCGGGGATTTTTCGAATGAATTTGATGTTTAATATAAAAAAGCTCGCGGATGCCTCATTATTTTAAGCAGTGTCTGTTATTTTGGTGATAAATTGATTTGCAACTAACTTTTAGGAAAAAATTGTTGTCAAGAAAAGGTTAATATCTTTATTCAGTCGTAGATAGTTATGAAAATATATCTGTAGCTAAGTATAACAGCAGTGGAAACCTAGATTAAGCCTCACGTAATGGTCTCTAACACAACAATCATTAACAATGTCTCGTCAACGCGCTCAAACGAGGTTTGCCTTTTTATTTAAAAGAATTTTCTTTTCAAAACACTTTATTGCGACTAATAGAATTCCGATACAGTTTTTAATAAAATTTCAACCATCCCCGCTTGCCTTCGGAAAAAAAACGAACAGATTAACGATTCGCTCACTTCAAATATCGATTTTGTTCGCAACCTGTGTAAACTCGTTCCACATTCCTTTGAAAAAACATTCATTCCAATTTCTTTTAATCTTCCGAACACATGCCAATGTAAAGTAAAATTGACTTTTACACGTGCGTAAAAACTTTTAATTTTATTTTTTACAGATGTATTATTAAATGTTATACTGAGTTTATGTTTAGACCAGATATAATGAAATAAATCTGTGAGATTCAGAGACGAACATATTTCTATAGGACTACGTGAGAAATTTACAACAATAGAAAGCTGTATAGAGAAAGCATAATGTAATTGTTTATTTCACACTTATATTCAATACTAGTGGTTGCCCGCGACTTTATCAGGGCAGAAAAAATTAATAAAAAAATTAACCTACAGTATGCCCGCATACATCAGCTACCATCCCACAAAGCTCCGTCAAAAGCAAGCCAACCGTTTCGGAGATTACTCTGAATAAACGCGGTCTTGCGGACAGACAAACAGACCAAAATTTGGTTTTCGTTATTGGTAATGCAAATCATTAAAATGTAATTTTTTTCATTATTACATACAGATATTCCAATTTTATTGTCTATCATTGATTTCCATTTAATTTGTTAACGATCAATCTCGCGTTACAGTCTAACTAGCAACTGTTTCAATTAACTTTTATGTTGTATGCTTTAGCTTTAGTAAAATCATTGAAATTTATAATTACTATAACATAAAATCTAATTACGTGCTCGAATTTAATCCTGCCCGCAGCGTCACGGTAATTACGCTCCAGTGGTTACGAGCGCCGTTGATTGATTGTGTTCGTGTTTATTCAAAAAACAATTTAGACATGAAAATTGCTTTAGCATGTAATTTGAAGTTTGATTCGGGATTTTAATTAGACCATTTACGATGCCAAAGTTTTTTTATAGAATAAAGAGAAAACTGTTCGCTGGTCTCCTAATATAGTGACGACTACCGCCTACAGTCCTAACATTTAATTAAATTCAGACGCACTAACGACTTTGCCTCGCGATATAAAAGCGATTAAATTGTTTTGCTTTATTTATTTGTATTACTTCGTAGGGCTGATTCGTCTAATGAAGCCCCCGTCGTCGATGGACTTACGGAGTTTGGGGAGGTGAGTAGTTATTGGTTAATCGTAATGCAACAGCGAATAAATGTTTATTATTTAGTAATGTCGCAAAACTTTTTAAATATTCAGTCGGCTGTAGCTCTCACTGAGTGCTTTCGAAACATGAAAGACATTTCCTTACTCTTCACATTGACAGCAAGCCATTTAAAATTGTCGTTAACTTTTGTATTCCAATGCGACATTCATTTATTTCTTGAATTTAAAATCTCCATATTTAATGTGTGCTCTGTTGCGTCAATTATCTTATACTTTTTAATTTTATGGTTGTGTGATATTTATTTATTGGAATAAACTAATTTATTACAGAATAAAAATACTTAATTTTACTTATTACACATTGAGGTTGACGAGATTTATTCAGTATTCAGAATCCACAATCCTGAGATAACACAATTGTATGATATTGTCCGTTCATCTGACGTAATGTTCAATTGTCACGTCAAATTTGCATGCGTAGTGCGAATGACGTTTTAATAGACTAACGCGGCTTCAATACCGCAAATAGAGTTATAACGACTATGTAGATTATGATCAAATTAATTTAGTAATTACAATATAAATTGAAAATGCTTCGAATAACATTCATTACTTTGCATTTTTATAATTTTTGTTAAGTGTTTAGTGTTTGCAACCATTGCAAGGCGATTAGAAAAGAATATGATTTCTATCTCGTTGTTTTATAAATGTATCGTTTAAAAAGTTTTCTTTATATCTTTTCTATTGTCTACAGAAAGTGGTGAAAGAGATGAATAGACTCGGCATGTTGGTGGATCTGTCTCACGTCGGTGAGAACACCACGCGTGCGGCTATCCGCCTCTCCAAGGCCCCGGTCATCTTCAGTCACTCTTCAGTGTACAACCTTTGCAACCACAAGCGAAATGTACCCGATGACATCATTCAATCTTTGGTACGTTTTTGTACAGCGTAAGATGATCTACCAAGAGGTAAAACTTAAGACAAGGTTTTTATGCGACGCGTGTTCCTCTAAAACTTACATTATATTTGTACAATTATTATCTGAAAAAGATTTAACGGGAAATACTGAACTTCAATGTTTAAGATAAATAAACAAATATATACTCCTATCCTTTTATATACATAACAAGTGACAGTCCAAACACTAAGTTAACTATTCTAAACTGATTCATCTGTTTACTAAACATGTGAAATGGAATGGTTAAATCACTGAATGTGTTCAAATAAACGCAACTCCAACGAATGTACAATTGATATAAAAAGCCGGGTAAACACGCTAGAACAAATCCATCCCGGGGGAACATTTTAATATTTGACTTGCGTCCCGAGCCCTGAATAGGCACATATTTTATACTATATTTCTTTGCTTTTGCTGTTATAGCAAATATTAAAGATTACACTGAGTTATAAAAAAATTTTACTTACGTATTTTTTGATTATTGCAATTTAAAGACTACTTTTTACGATAGCTATTTAAGCTTATTAATTCGTTTTATAATAAAACATTAATATCACTAAGTAAGAACTTAAGTTAATCTTATATCTAGTAAGCACTGCGCATTTCATTTTACTTTGATTAAAATTACTGAACTACTTCAAAAAAAGAAAGCATTTTAACATTTTCATAACAGAAATTTAAAATTATGTGGAACAAAACTATGTTATACTCGAATAGCGGGCAAGGTCACGACGCTCTGGTTACTGTAAAAAAATTAGCGCTATGATATTCTGAGAACTTTTAGAGCACCTCAAGTAGATACTGACAAGAACGTCTCCTACAAAACAGCAGTTTATTTAAATGTATCTTAGAAACTGCTAAATAGAAAAACAAGATTTTTTCATTGGAAAGACTGATTATTTCTGTACGGTATAGGTTGAAAAGTAAAACTAATTTCTTTTAAAATAAAAGAGTAACTAGTATAACCACAAAGCAAGTATGGAATGTTATAAATCTAAATACTCATAGTTGTACGTTCCACTTTCATTGCTGCTAGTAATATACAATATTATCCGATAGTAAAATATAATATTAGTTTAGAAAAAAACATTATTACATCTTTCATGCGATGTAATTAAATTTTTGTTGGAATTATTTAACTAAAACACAAACGTAAACATTGGAATTGTTTTTACATTAAACATTTTAATTAAGACAGTCTCGCCTAGCTGACGCGTAGTGTTTAAGACAGAATAATCTCGGACGAATAATCTCATTCCTTCTTATTCAATTTTCTCGAGAATATAATAACTTTGCAGAGTAACAATGTCTCTTAATTTCTATTTTCATTTAATTTGTTTTTCGTTATGCAACCAAGATAGAAATGTGTATTAATATTATTTGTTTATAACTCTTTAAAAAAAATTATAATATTTTTTTGTGGAAAAAAATTAAATGCATAGCAAACTAGCTGTCGCCCGCGACTCCGTTCGCGCGGTATGTTATAATACTGTCGAAACGCCTGAAAAATCAGTTATATATTTTATAATTGATGGTCTATTTTATTTATAGAAAGAGAACGGCGGCATCATAATGGTGAACTTCTTTCCGGATTTCGTGAAATGCGCACCCAACGCCACGCTCTCCGATGTCGCGGGTAATTCAACAATTTGTTATTATCGATGACTATTGTTGTCAGTGGCCAACAAATCTCAGGTAGCTGTTTTAATCAAGAACAGCGCGCCAATATCTTTTAATTACGCGCCAGAAAATGAAATAGCCAAGGAGCACTCGACCTATATACGTCGCGTCGGATAAATTAAGTCAAAAGGATGAACTTGTCAATTCTTCTCGGCTCATTTCTCATTAAACATAATTATATTCTAATCTTGTTTATTGTCATTATATTCCGTTAAATATCGTGAATTTTCTTAAATCAGTAAAAGTTTAACGATGTTTTTATTTATGTTTTTCTGTGTAGAACATTTCCACTACATCAAGAAGTTGGTTGGCGCGGACTTCGTCGGCATCGGAGGTGACTTCGACGGCGTCAATCGGTTTGCTAATACGTTTTTTAAATTAGTTACACCTTTTAAAACATGATTGTACATTGTGACACATTTAAACTTTGATTAAACTTGACGATTTGTGTTCATGAAGGTTCAAAACTAATTTCTTAGTATTGAAAGCACTCCATTAACGATTAAATTTTAGTTGATTGTATAGAGGGCGTCAAACGTTGCGGTAAAGTGCTTGACAATATGTTTCCCCAAACATAGCGTCCCCCGCGGCCTGGAGGATGTGTCCAAGTACCCAGAGCTGTTTGCTGAGTTGCTGCGCAGTGGCCAATGGAGCGTGCAGGAGCTGAAGAACCTCGCCGGACTCAACATGCTGCGCGTCATGCGGCAAGTGGAGAAGGTAAACTCCAAATAAACTCAAAGCTTCTACTAGAATATGGTTCATTACAATACTCGCATGGCGGGATTAAGCTTTTGGTGATTTTTAGCCGACATCAAAAAGGAGGTTATTAATTTGTTTGTATTTTTATCTGTGTTACCACATCATTTTCAATTTTGTTTGTATCAAAGGTACGTGACGAGATGCGTACCAACGGTGTGGAGCCCGAGGAGCACCCCGACTCTCCCACTGACAACGGCAACTGCACGAGCAACGCCTTCAACAGCGACTACTATTAGACCACACATATAACTAACAACTACTCACATAGGACTATTAATGCGGCATAATAAAAAAGCTCACCTATACATTGTCGTAGTAAAATTATTTAATTTGGTAAATATAAATGCGACCGGTTGCGTTCATTTCATGCACACATACGTTGTGATTATATTATGATTGTAATATGATGTAAAGTTCTCGGAATCGAAATTTCGAATTTCAAATAAGCGCATGAAAGCGGATTTCATAGCATTTAAACATTGCAAACTCATTTATCGATAAATACATACGTATGTGTGCATTTGTAACGAGTAGAGTATTTTGTTTGTAAATCGGTTCATTTTTGAAGTTGTGAGGTAAACGTTTATTATGTGAAAAATATTAAACCGGACGATTTCTGGTGACGTAGCCTGCTTACTATACCTTAACAGATTAATATGCATAGTTGAATAGGCCCATTAGTCACACGGCAAAATGAATCGTATACCCTTCGATTTAGGATCGAAGTTGTTTGTAGTCGGTGTTGTAGATGCATTCTAGATGTACGGACTCGGCACTCTACACGCGCTTGTACGAACTACACTTCTAGTAGGTACTTGTATGTGTTTCTGTTGTACTGTTAGATGTATCCGCCTTCTATGGATACTAACTTATTCAATATACAATTAGACATTTTAAGGAAGACATATTTTTCGACTATCTTCTTATTCGGAGCCCTTTACTTTGAATTTATTTTATCAAGTCATCTTACCAAAGATGTGCATTTGGTGGTTGACTCACATCGCCACGAAATGCTGCTGCAACAACATTAATTATACTTAGACAATTTTACAAAAAAATAATCATAATTTATCTTATAATTTTTTAAGTTATTGTCTTTTTAGTTAGAGATATTTGGAGCATTAAAATAATTTTCTTTCAAGTAAACAAGTTTTAGTTCAATCTGAATACATCGTATCGACCATTATAATTTGGATTATAATTAAACCTGTCACATATTTCTCTTCATTATTTGAATAATTTTACCACATTCATTCGTAACTAATATCAAAGCCCTGATTAGAATTCAAATAAAATGTTATAAAATTTAACACTGATCGTAAAAGTGGAACAAATTGTAAGCTGTATGTGTAACTCTGTATGTAGCACAACGCACGAATCTATTCAATGTTTAAGATGTCTAATTTTCTTATTAATCTTAGTTATCAAGAAATCCACGTTCAAATAATGTTGATTCCTCATACGACATAGTAATAATACGCTGGCCTGTTGTGTTTTAAAAGGCCAATCAAACCTTGTGAATTCGATGAATACCACAGTACAATTAAGTATTGAACAATTGCAGTATAATTCGGTTAAATTGTAAATCAAAAGTATAAATATTTAAATTCGATCAGCACACATGTTCCACGGAATTTTAATGAACTGTAATGGGCAAAAATCGATCTCAATATTGAGGTTTAAACGTAACATGGTTACATTTCATTTAGAAAAATGGCTTGTTGTTAGGAGTAACGACTGAAATTTTTTGAACCTTTATTATCTAGCAATGACTATTTCGTCTAAGATCTGGCTGTTATTTTGTGATTAGTTTTGAATAAATTTTTGTATGTATACATATATATACCTCTTCGTGCACAAGCGCACATTGGTGTTTTAACTTAAGTTAGTCCTTTTTCTTGATAAGATTTTTTTTAATTTAAATGAATCTTAGTACTTATTAATTTTATGTTTTTAATCAATTTAATAATTGCTGTCTGTCAATTATGTTTTTCTTTTTGTGTATTTATTCTGTTCTATCGATGATGGCTTTTTTTCATTTCCAATACTTATAGTTAAAGCTATGTGCGCTTGTATGTAAGTTGTTGGGCGTGTTGTGTGATGGCAAGTTTTAATCCTGTCGCGCTCACTACTGCCCTCTACGATGCCCCGACGGTATCCCCCGGTAGCGAACAACGCGCCTTACAACAATTTTCTGAAGTGTTTTATATTTCATACACGATTTAAGACTAAATAAACACGATTGATATATACTCAATATACTTGTTTTATTTGAAGTTACCTATAGTTATCTTATGTAACATATTAAGTTGGTTATGTTAATGATATTTAAATAATAGAAATATTACGTTGGCACACGACCAACTAGTTTAGGCAAGTAGTCTATCTCTATGACAAATAACTTGATTTGAATAAAACTCGTGTACGAGATACTGGAAAACCCTTCAGAATTCAATCGAACTTTCTGTACATTTTTGTATCTACTAAAGTGAAGCAAAGCTTTGTTTTATATGAATCTTTTCGATTTATAATGTTCGTTCTAATAGTAGTAAAATAGATAAACAATACTGCTTTTATTATTCAATAATTTTACAAGACCAATTCTCGATTATGGTCGTTATGCGCGTACAGTCGACACAGTGACAACCATCCAGTAAGTATGGTATTAATCCCTCACAAAAAAAAATTCAATACTTCATAGGCGTTGGATGTCAAACATCTATAGACAAATAATATAGTCCCACAAGGTTTTTATGGTAGTCGGAAGAGATGTGAACTAACAATGTCATCTTGACACTGTCATTATTTTGACCAATGAGGGAGCAGCGGCTGCACAGTATAATGTTGCCATTTTCATCGTTTGAAAATTCAATAAAAATATTACTAAGATTTTATCTGACTTGTAGGTTTATTTGAATGTATAAATTTAAAGAATAATTACAAATACAGGCCAAAAGTTTACTTGGAGTTGCGACATGGACGGCTTTCGAAAATGAATTTTGCTAACCTTTAAAATTTGTAGGCCCCTTGTCAAAAAGTTGCCATAAGATCTTTGTAAG